CCTAGGGCCTCACGCCTGCGCCTTGTGTTTCTCCTGCAGGGACAGGCTGCGTGCAATGGCGTGTTTCGCTTCCAGTGCCCCCTCTGTAGAAACACTGAACTGTTTCTCACAGAAATGATCCTCATGGGGATCCGAATCCCCATCAGGTTGGTGTCCTTCTGCCTGGCTCACGAGACAGGAGGGTGCAAGCGCTGTGCCGCGCCAGGGTCTGCCCCAGCAGCCCTGGCCCTACGCTGTCCCATGAGTTTGGGCTTCAGCTTCACAGAGGAGTGGGAAACAGGGCAGGCGGGGAAGAGCAGGGACACCCTGCATCTGCCTCATGCTGGGGCAGCAGGGGCTCAACAATTTTCCTTTCTCCATCAGACTGCCAGGAAGTGAGAACATACAAGCATATGAAGCGCTAACTGAGAGGCACAGCCGCTGCGATGCCAGCGAGTGCCTTTGTCCAAGAGGCAGGGAGCAGGCAGAGGAAGAGGGGTAAGTTGTCAAAGTTGCATCCCGGGGCTCTGCACAGGATCTCTGTCTCGCCGAGGGCTCAGTCTCGACGAGGGCTCAAAGTGGAAGAACTGAGAACGAGAGCTCTGCCAGACAGTCCCATGTTGAGGTCACTTTGTCCTCACAGCCATCAATCTGTTTGCTTCCCCAGGCCCTGGCAACTGGTCCTGTGCTCCTCCTGTGCTGCCGAGGGCACCCACAGAGGCTGCTCCTCCCTGAAGGACAGCACGGTCTGTTGGGAGTGCCGCAGCTGTGCTGGCCTGGACACTGGTAAGAGGCAAAGCACCCGGGCGTTCCTGGCCAGGGACCAGGCGAGGCCTGGCAGTGGGTGCCCAGGCTGGACTTGACAGAGCCTCTCTGCTCCAGGAGGGCTGGAGGCACCGCTCTGGCCTATCCTGCCCTGGGGGCTGTGCCCTTGACCATCCTACTTCCTCTTACAGCCTCCAATTCCAGCTCAGAGCACGCCGGCCCCAGCACTGCTGGCCAGTCAGGACTGGGGTCTTCTCACAGCTCCTCAGCACTTGGGATCAGCAGCCCCAGCACCGCCAGCCAGGCGGCACAGGGGCAGTCTCTTGTATCTCCGGCACTGGGGACCAGCAGCACCAGCCCTGCCAGCCAGCTGCCATCAGCATCCTCCGGCAGCTCTCCAGCACTTCAGGGCAGCCCCCGCTCCAGCCACCCTGGGCCCAAGCGGGCGCGAGACCGCTCCCGCTTGCAACATCGCGTTCAAAATCCCTACAG